AACCAGTGTAAGTTGCATTCCACTTACTAATAGAGTCAATGGGCAGATGTTTAAAGCTTCTCTGTTGTTTTTATTTACTATCTCCCTACATAAATATTTTTTTACTCTCCTGCAGCTGCAAATGAAGATGCTATAAAACTGAACGAGACACTCAGAACCCAAGATGAGACCTTGGAGAGGAGTCTTCCAGAACTGCAGAGTGAGGCTGACAGAATGATCGCAGAGTTGAGAAGCAGAGCGCTGAATATGCAAGAAAGAATAGCTCAAGATGAGTTAAAGTGAGTAGAGAGACCTCAGTCTTCAACCTCCCAGTGATAATATCTGACTCTAGTAAATGTGATCGTCATCTTTTACAACCAAGTTTTCAAGCTGGGGCTTACAGAAATGTGAAGGAAAGCAAGGTCTAATACTTCATATCTGTTAATGCAGCATTTGCATTTTTGGAAATGCTTACATATGTAGAAAGCAATCCCTAGGAAATTACTTCTCTGCTCCACAGGTACCAGCAACATTTCTAATTGAATTCTAAGCAATTTTTCTCAGTTTGTTTTTAGCTTGTACTTCAGACCTGATGAATAGCTTTTGTACTAAAAAGCTTGTCTAGAAGCTTTGGGGGTTTTCTGGAAAGCAAATTATTCTAATAAAAATATTATCTGTCTGCAAAGTTTGTCCAGTAGCATAGACATTCAAAAGGATGTATGTTGCCATATGTACAATAGTATAGATAAGAATATTCAAACTCTGAGGCACAGTTCAGAAGCCCAGGGTTTGGTTATTTAGCTATCTGTAAAAATAAAAACTATGTACGTATGTATAATTATATTAGCAGCTTCTTATAAAGCATTTGGCAAAATGCTGAAAACTTATCTGATCCAGAAAAATACTTGGTTTGAAGTTAAAATTCTGGTAGTTTGTTATTTCTGTAGCAGTCAGACCAGGCATATTCCTAGAGCTAGGCTTTGCTTAGCACTTCACAAGAGCAAACAACTAGCAGGTAATCCAGCTGAGCAGCTACGTGGTCCATTGAAGTTGTGATGGCTCAGAAAACTGTCTGGGGTAGAAGTTCAGGCCTGAAAATGTCAGTTACCAGGTGCATGCATGCTGTAAGGAGACATAAATACAATACAAGATTAGCTAAGAATTCCAAGCAATATAGAATCAGATTTGTACTGCCTATCTTGCACTTTATAAAACAGATCATTTTCTGAAAATCCTACCAGTACAGTCTTTCCTCCCATGATTCTGATGGTTCCGCTTTCTGTTCTTTTGAGAAAACACATATTTCAGCGTTATTTTCCAGCAATGTTTTATTGTTTTTTCTTCTGATGCCAGTAAGCCTTTTCTATCCCTTCTCCTCTCCCACATAGAAATAAACCTGGAAAAAGCAGACATGAGAAAAATTTAGCCAAACCTTTGAAAGTACTGCCTGCAATTTTAGGGCAGACTTAGGAGATGCCTTTCAAACAAGGTGTTCTTAGTCCTCAAATGCTGCAGCCAACATGAAACTGTCAGATTAGCATGAAATTCGATAGGGCTTTTTTGAGGGAAAGAACTTCTCTCCCTCCTACTATTCTTCCTCAAATGTGCAAAGTGAGCATTTTCGTTTCGTGATAAAGATTTTATACTAAGAAATACACAAATATACTGACTGACTTCAAAGTTGTATGTTTTTTCTTAAGGATAGGTCTACCTCTATAGACAAGTCATTGAGATCCCAGAAATTTTGGCAGTGAAGTCAACAGAAGGAAAATTAAATAAAAATTAATTATTCTTAAAACTGTATGTGTGTGCACGCATGTATATGCATCACTATGCTCACATGTATTCCTACAGACTCATTTCAGAAGTATTTACTTTTGAATAACGCTGGAAGTCTCATGATCACTTTGAAGTAATCATGTTTACTCTTTGGTGATATGTCTTTTGGCAGTGATAGTATTCTCCTTTAGGATTTTGTCCAAGAACAGAATGACAACAATCAGTGGATTCTTCATACCTCTCCTATGTTTTCAGTGAATTCTCAAAAGTTAAACGAAGAAGACAAACGAAGTAAAGTCTTCTTGCTTTCATAGATTGCCAAACTTCTCTTACATGTGCAGCTTTTTCCCTAATTTATTTTCCTTCAAACTTTTTCAGGTCAAGTCTGTAATCTGATTGCCTTAGTGTATTGAAATGGCATATTAGGCAGTTATTTCTCTCTAAGAAGAGCATGTTAAAAATACACCAGTTTCTGTCCTAAACAGCCCTGATTTTCATACTTATGAAACAAATTTTTCAATATTTTTTAATATTCCTACACATTTTCTCGGATGCCACTGAGTTTCTATCAAGGGATGCTGTGAGCCAGAATTCTGCTTTCTATTTAGTATGCTGAATACCTTTGTTTTTGTGTGACTTTTTCTTCCATAAATTTATCTGATGGCTTTTGAGACACTGTCAACTTCTATCATCCAGTTTCCTGTAAGAATGAATTGCATAACTCAGCCACACAGTGTTTGAAGAGATGCCTCCTGTGTTTTGACATTGCTTCCTGATATTTTCATTTTTATATTTGGAGAGACATTGGACAGTTGATCACCTTATCTGTGCTACTCTTGATGTTATGGTCCTCATTTCTTCTCCAGATAGGACAATTCTAACATATTTAGACTCTCATATATATATGAAAGGGGGTGGGGGGGGGGGCCGAGGGGGGACG